TCCATACGAAGTGGGGAACTCAGTGCCACCACTTTCCAAAGGGGAAATTTACTCGTTAATCCGATCCGTAAGCTTTGCTTAGCAGTCTGTCAACATGATTGTTTTAGAAATACAGAAAGTTTCAAAGAGATCTCCGTACTAGAAGTATTCTAAAACGAGAAGAATACAACCCCCGGGGGTACAAAATGACCCCAGGGCGTACGGGTAGGGTTAATCCCACCTCTCTCTGTTTTCCTGAGCAGAAGAGAAGTAGGTCAAAGCCGTAATAACAGACGTGTACTTTTGACAGACGCGCTCGTAACATGATCAATGTCTTCTGCATTCATGTTTGCGGCAGGGGCTCTCCATGACTTTTTTTTTGTTTTTTTTTTTTGAAACGTCGATGTTAAAAAAGGACGAGTCGCGAAAATGGGATGCGAGAAAATTCAGACACCAAACGAGACACAAAGTAGATAGGTAATTACGAAGACAGTGTTCAGGCCTCTCTCTAAGGAGAAGGGCGTTTGGGGTTGTTTTGTTTGTTTTTTGTTTTGCTTTGGGGGGATTTTTTCGTCATAAGCACATTGACGCACATTACATAGTGCCAGGGAAGACATTAAGACCGGCAAATAGGAACAACAGAGGTATAGTTTTAGTAAAAGTTTTACGGTACTTGCAACACAAAAAGGTCATATAAGTACCGAAGATTAGAATTAGAGGTGTTACAAGAGAGTAACAAACACAAAAAAGAAGGAGAGGAGATAGGGACGATAGATGTTTGATAGGAAAGAAGAAGCAAACCACACCAGAGCACCCGCCAACCACCCACGATTCAGCTCGTCAACGAACACATTTCGTCAAGAATAGAAAGACATTAAGACGCACACACATAATCACACATTACTATACTGAAAGAATCATGTAGAATTAACAGATAACACTAACCACCTACACACACACACACACACACACACACACACACACACACACACACACACACACACACACACACACACGCGCGCGCGCGCGCGCGCGCACATTTTTAGTTTTAGTTTTAGTAGAGGTTTTACGGCGCTCGCAACAGCAACACAATACGGTCATATAAGTGCCGAAGAGTAGAGGTGTAACAAGAGATAGGAAAGAAGAAACAAACCAAACCAGAGCACCCGCCAACCACCCACGTTCAATTTGTGAGGGTTGAGAACTAAACAAATCAACAAATGTAATGCCATTGATCTTCGGCCGGGCCAATGTCCGATTAGCGTTTGCATTTTAACGTTCACGGGAAATGTATAAGCCTTAATTAGTATTTATTTAACACCCCCCCCCTCTCTTT